CCCAGCCCAGGGTGCCCTCATCGCGCTGTAAGCCAGAGGCTTCGGCGCGCATCGGCCTGCCTTGTGCACTTGCTCTCGCCCGCTCCGGCTGCCCTGAGACGTCGGACGCGGTTCTATTGGGGCCGGGGCGTTCATCTTGCTCACTGGTCAAAAAGCCATGGCAACTCGCTTCCTTCAAAACGTGCCAGGGTGTGGCGTTCTGTTGCCATGCCGACCCAATTCAAGTGCGGCCCCCCTTGCGCGGAGCGCTTGCGAGCACGGCCAGGGGGGCCATCGCGCGTGGCACGGCGAGGGCGAGCTGCATGGCTCCCTGCAGGGGGGAGCGACTGCGGGCATGGCACGGCGAGCACCGGCGGCATGCCCAGACATGCGACGTCCTGGTACTTCCCCAAACAGTGCTTGCACTGAAGGGGTCCTAGCGAAAGTTAGAAGATCTGGCGAAAGTTTCCCGCCTATTTTGGTAGCAAGCTGGGTTCGGGTTCCCGGTTCCGGGTTCCTGGGTTCCTGGTTATTGGTTTTGGGCCGATTTCGGTGGGTTCTGGGTTCCCGTGCTACCGGGTTCCCGGTCGATCTGTTCCTCGAAAACCATCCATTTATATGGTTTTTTTTTCTCTGGTGTAATTTTGATACGTGGTGCCTGGAAGTCCCGACCCTTTCCTCAGGGTTGTTCCTTCGTCCCCAGCTGTCTTTTGACGGCCCCAGGGCCTGGCGAGGGCCTCTGGATCGCAGACCTAGAGGTTGACACCGACACCAATATCGGCGTCGTGCCTCCACCGACGGACCAAGATCCCGATCTCGGTGATGGTGGCAATATTCTGGCTTCCAAGATGACCGAACTATTACCACCAACACCGAACTCGAGGATCATCCCCCCCCCTGTGGAGGCAACCCCCTGTCTTGGTGTTTGTGCCCGTTTCCAGGCCTCCAGCTGGAGGCCGAAGTCGGCAGCAAAAACGTCCGTCTTGTTTTTGTTCAATGCGTTGGATCTCTGGGGGCCGCCCTGCCGCCGCGGCGTCGCTCGCGGCCGGCTGCCGCCTGGCCGCGGCGGTTGCCTGGCTGCTCGGGCGCGGCCACTCGCGGCCCGTGGGGCCGAGCAGCCCGGGCGCACTCCGCGGCGCTCGTGGCGTCTGGGCCTGGCGGCCCGCCTGCGCCGACGCTCTCTGCGATGGGCAGCGCCTCGGCAACACGCAGGAGCGACCGGTCGCCGGAGTGACCTGCGGGGCGGGCACGCCGGGGCCCCCGGAAGGGATGCGTCGGAGAGCAGAGAGCGGCATGAACATGAGCTCTCGGAGGTCCCCGCGGGTTTCTTGTCTTGGCATTGGGCGGCGCCCCTGGTGCCGCCCCGAGCGCGCTCCGCGCGCAAGGGAAGGAAGCGCCAGCGCCGAGCCAAAACTGTGCGGCACCCCGTAGTTGCAGATAGGAGTGAGTAGGCGAGCGCGGGTTGTGTCGCGGGTGGGTCGCGCGCGGGTCGCGGGTGGGTCGTGCGCGGGTCGCGGAATGGGTCGCGGGGTGGGTCGTGGGTGGGTCGCGCGTCGGTCGCGGATTGGTCGCGGGTGGGTCGTGGGTGGGTCGCGAGGCGGATCGCGGGCGGATCGCGGGTGGCGGACGACGATCCCGGGCCGGGTCGCAAGTGGGACGACAACAACAACAATCATTCTAAGACTGTTCGCTCTTACTTGCCCGTGTGTCATTCAAAACGAGTTCCCCACACCCTCGATACCCGCCCTTTTTGACGAACCAGCAACACACACCCATACCCATAGGGGGGTCGTTGAGAGGAGGACTGGCTATGGGTATGGGTGCGGGTTGTCGGACCCTGGGGAACGCACCCGTTCGAGCGGGGACCCCCATCCGACAACACGCACCCATAGCCCTCTCCGACCCCCCTATGGGTATGGGTGTGTGTAGTTGGTTCGTCACTTTTCGTCTTCGATCACACCCCCGTTGGGGGGATTATTTCTCTTTGCGGGGGGCGGCGGGCTTAGACATGCGTGCAAACCTGAACGGGCGGATAATCCTTCGTGGGCGTACATGTGCCCGTCATTGGAATTGGTGTGGGCCCTGCAAAAAGAGGAGGGGGAGAACGAGGGAGAGTGGGAGGAAAGGAGGGGGAGCGACGAAGGAAGAGGGAAAACGCCAGGAGAGAAGGAGCGAAGAGGGGGGCGGTTGATTAGAGGCAGAGAGAGAGAGAGAGAAAGACAGATAAGAGAGGTAGAGAACGAGAGAGAGAGAGAGAAGGGAGAGAGAGAAAGAAAGAGGGAGGGAAGAGGCAGGAGAGGGGAGGGAGAAGGGAGAGGGGAGAGGAGGGAGAGGGGATAGGGCAGAGAGGCATAAGGATGAAGGAAGAGAGGAGGGAGAGAGAAGGGAGGAGAGGAGGGAGGAGGAGGGAGGGAGATGGAGGAGGAGCAGGAAGGTAAGAGCGTGAGCGTTCGAGGAAGTCCTAGGCGAAAGCGCCGATCCTGACGGAAGTCTCGGGCGGGAGCCCACGATGGGCGGGCGATCCCCTGACGGGCGGGTCGGGCGGGTGGGGCACTCAAGCGGGATGCCTGAGTATGGCGAGAGCGCGGATCTGGAGTAAATTGTAGCGGCGTCCTTGGCGCAGCGTGTTTCCTGAGCGTCGAAAGCGTGATTTCTTAATCAATTGCATGGAAATCACAGGCGAGAGCGCAATTCCTGAATAAAATGTGAAGGGCTTTCTGGCGGGAGCGGGAGCCTTGATTAAATTGCGAGGAAGTCTTGATTCAAGCGCGAGGAAGTCTCAAGCGGAAGCGCCTCTCCTGAGTAAATCGTGAGGAAGTCTCAGATGGGAGCGGGGGTCCTGACTAAATTGCGAGGAGGTATAGGCGGGAGCACCGATCCGGAGTGAAGTGTGAGGAAGTCTCAGGCGGGAGCGGGGGTCCTGAGTAAATTTGGAGGAAGTCTCAGGCGGGAACCGTTGTTGTTGTAATCCGGAGAGCCAGGAGCTCAGAATGAACACGAAGATTTTCCTTGACAGAAAAACAGGGTGCGAGCGTCGAGGGGCATACTTTGATGGCGAAAAACAGTATACACTGGTGAGGGGGGATCAAAAACAATTAACAACAACAACGCCAACAACAACATTCATTTTAATACTGTTCGTTCTTATCTGTTCGCGCGTACCTCACCAATTATTTCCCAAACCCCCGATACCCGCCCACATCGTCTTCGATCGTACCCCCTTCTGGGGGATACATCTTCCTGACCTGCCACGCGTATTGGGCGCGGCCCCTAAAAGAGCAAGAGGAGTGAGAAAGGAGAGAGAGAGAGAGAGAGAGAGAGTGGGAGCGAGAGAGAGAGAGAGACAGAAAGAGAGAGGGAGAGAGATATAAAAGAGAGAGAGAGAGGGAGAAAGCTAGGAGGAAAGGAGTGGGGGAAGGGAGGGAGGCAAGGGACAAGATGGAGGGAGCAGAGCTGTGGACGAGAGAAGCAGCAATGGGGCCACTAAGGGCAGCAGCGGGGCCACGAAGGGCAGCAATTTGGCCACTGAGGGCACGAGCGAGCAGGGGCCACGAAGGGCGCACACATGGGCCACCAGGGGCAGCAACGGGGCCAGAATGGGCAGCGATGGGGGCCACAGAGGGCAGCAGCGGGGCCACGACGGGCAGCAATGGGGCCACTGAGGGCATTGACGGGGCCATTGAGGGCAGCAGCGGGGCCACGAAGGGCAGCAATGGGGCCACTGAGGGCACAAGCGACTGGGGGCCACGACGGGCGCATATACGGGCCACAAAGGGCCTGCGCCAGGGCAACGAAGGTCAGCAATGTGGCCACTGAGGGCACGAGCGAGCGGGGGCCACGAAGGGCGCACACATGGGCCACCAGGGGCAGCAACGGGGCCAGAATGGGCAGCGATGGGAGCCACAGAGGGCAGCAGCGGGGCCACGACGGGCAGCAATGGGGCCACTGAGGGCATTGACGGGGCCACAGAGGGCAGCGAGGGGGCCACGAGGGGCTATTCTGGGGCCACGAAGGGCAGCAACGGGGCAACTGAGGGCGCAAGCGACGGGGGGGCCACGAAGGGCAGCGTCTGGGCCACTGAGGGCAGCGAGGGGGCCACAATGGGCAGTGGGGGGGGGCACAAGGAGCTACGCTGGGGCCACGTAGGGCAGCAATGGGGCCACTGAGGACACGAGCGACTGGGGGCCACATTGGGCAGCGGGGGGGGGGGCACACGGGGCTACACTGGGGCCACGCAGGGCAGCAATGGGGCCACTGACGGCACGAGCGACTGGGGGCCACGAAGGGCGTATATATGGGCAACGAAGGGCAGCGACGGGGGCCATTGAGGGCAGCAGCGGGGCCACGAAGGACAGCAGTGGGGCCACTGAGGGCACAAGCGTGTGGGGGCCACGACGGGCGCATATATGGGCCACAAAGGGCCTGCGCCAGGGCAGCGAAGGTCAGCAATGGGGCCACTGAGGGCACGAGCGACTGGGGGCCACGAAGGGCGAACATATGGGCCACAAACGGCAGCGAGGGTGCCACTGAGGGCAGCGGGGGGGAGGCACACGGGGCTACACTGGGGCCACGACTGCCAGCAATGGGACCACTGGCCACTGACGGCACGAGCGACTGGGGGCCACGAAGGGCGTATACATGGGCCACAGAGGGCAGCGAGGGGGCCACTGAGGGCAGCAGCGGGGCCACGACGGGCAGTAATGGGGCCACTGAGGGAACGAGAGACTGGGGACCACGATGGGCCACAAAGGGCAGCGAGGGGCCACTGAGGGCAGCATCGGGGCCACGAAGGGCAGCGACTGGGCCACAACGGGGGGGGGACCACGAAGGGCAGCAATGAGGGACAAAGGGCGCGAGCGAGCATGGGGCACGAAGGGCATGACCCTGACGGGCGGGTCGAGCGGGCGGATCGATCGTGAGTTGTGCGTGGTTAGCCAGGAAGTTCCCAGCGAGAGAGCGATTTCCTAAGTAAATTCAATGAAGTCCCCAGCGAACGCGCGATTCCTGAATGGCAAGAGCGC